AAGGACTCCCTGCAAGCTCAACGCGAAGTACCAACGTCGCACCCACACAACACAACGCTCCCCCTTGGTCGTAAGACTCTTTCCTGCAAGTCTCCCGCCACCAGTGTGGCACAATCGCACTCGCGTCTGACCTATAGCCGTCTTCTGTTGCCTCTGCAGACTTCCTGCTGCTATCCGTCGTCGCGTCCGGAGTCTCTTCACTCAGGCTCGACGCCGACCCAGACTCCCGCCGCGTTTCCGAAAGCGGCTGAGTCCCTTCCGCGTGCCCATCGCCCGCATTAGTTCTTCCCGCAGTGCGGAGGAGTTGGTTTCCCCACTCAAGGGAGACTGGAATGGCATTAGGGTCTGTCGCTACTGCACACATCATCCCTTTGCCATGGCTACGCGGCCTAGAACGCTCGTCTCCAACCAAGCCTAGGCCCCCTTGTTTAACTGTTCCGCTTTCTCAGTGCTAGGACGTGTGGGCTGCCTACTGCTCTTGCCTTCCGGCTCGGTCCGGCCTCGTTCATACGTAGGACAGTCCCGAGCATAGTGTGCCACACCGCCACACTTCTGCATATTTCCCCCTGACGTTTGGTATGTTCTCTCTTTCTGGGGAAGACACGTGCCGGATGTCCGCCACCCTGACACTCAAAGCAGTTCGTGTGCGTTCCTTGAGGGCGATTTTCAATTTCCTCGTGCCCACGGAGTCCATTAGCTTGGATAGCAGCCCTAATGGCTCGACTGGTCCTTTCTCGGAGTTCCAGCACATTCTGCTTGGGCTCGCAGAGCGTTGCGGCGGTCGCCGCTTGTTCCCACGACTGACATTTCACCTGTCCGTTATTGGTTATTAGAAGATGGAGGTCTGTCGGTAGCCCGCTGCAGTAATAGTCAGCGAGTTCGTCGGGGGCAAGACCCAAACCACTCTCCGCTACAGCCGCAAACCGGTCCGTGTATTCCTTCGGGTTACCATTCCACCGTACTTTAGCCAACTCCGTTAACAATTGACTCTGCGACATTGTTTTGTCAAACCGCTCCAAAAGCCTGCGCTGTACTACCGCCCAGTCGCTTAGGTCGATAGTTTTCTGTAGGTACATCCAATACGTTAGAGCCGGGCCCACAAGGTGGTCTATAAGTGCGCTTCCCCACTCGCGAGGTTGCAATCCCATCTGGGTGTACCGGCGTTCGACGCGCAGCAGAAAGGCCTGCATAGTGCTGCCGTCTTCTGGTAGCATGGGAATCGTTGCCCCGGATTCCACGGTCCCCCCTATAACAGTTTTTATCACACTCATAGCGGACTGGAATTGGTCCCACGTGGCGAAGGGACTGTCCCCTGGAATAACATTGGTCATAGGTATCGCCTGTGGGGGCGCCTCCTAATGCCCATGCGGCCGCTCTGCCACAGTGGGCTTCAGAGTCGCGTGGCGATGATGGGCTGGCGTCCCGCTCGGCTTTTTGTTGACTGACATTGTAGAAGTCTCCTGCGGTGTGGGC